TGATCCGATACTTCAGAAGTGTCAGAGAATTATTAATATAAACCAGATAAAAAATAGTTGAACTTCAGGTAAGCATACAACTTCAGGGATGTCCAGATAAGTTTAGGGAAAATTAGCGATTTAAGACAATGCTTCGTGAGCGATAATGAAATTTTATAAAACTTAAAGAAAATTGTGGAAACTTCAATGCAATTCAATTAACTTCAGTAAAATTGCGGGTTCTTATAAAAAATTCTGAGAAATGCAGGTCAGTCTAGAGAACTTCAAGGAAATTCAGGAATCTTTCGGGTAGTGTTAATAACATCAGGAAAGTCTAGAATATTGAAGAAGTTATGAATTAGTGTCGATAATTTAAGGGCAGTTCGATGAACTTCAGAAAAATCTTGAGAAGATAAATGAAAATCAGAGACTACTATATTAATTATTTTGTTTTGGTTCCAAGAAAATTGCGGGAGCTTAAATAAGTTTCAGAAATGTCAGAAACACTTTGAAAATTTCACAGAAGTGCAGAGATCTTCAGAAACATTTCGAGAACTTCATAGAAGTCTATGAAACTTAAGGGAAGATTCATGAACATTAGTTGAATGCAGGAGCATTTCAAAGAAGTTTAGTAAGCTCCAAAAAATTTCAGCAAATTTTAGAGATGTTTAAAAAATATTGAGGTCTTCACATAAGTACAGAAGTTCACTGAAACTTAAAATTTTTAGGACAGTTCAATTTAATTAAGGGCAATACAACAAGCATCATGAAAACTGCTAAAACTTTAGAAAACTTAAGGAAAGCGATTTGTAAACTTTAGAGAATATTCATGATCGTTAGGAAAATTAAGGAATTGGAAGTCCAAAAAAGTTAAGGGAAGTTTTAAAATTGTATGGGAAGTATTGTGGGCATCAGGCTAGTTTCTCAAACTACAAAAGAATTTCATTTTCATGCGAAATCCTCAGAATAGACCATTCCATATTCAATGGAGATTTATCATGAAATTTAAATTGAACTTCTCGCTTCTCTAAATTCTCTAATAAATATCTCCAGAATATACATACTTAGCATTCTCTCGCAATTTCATTGAAATGTTCCTAGAAATTTCGTTGAAACATTCCTCCGACTTTAATTTTCTTTGAATTTTTCTCGGAAATACCTTGAAATTTTCCTCAGCAAAAAACACGTTGGAAAGATTCTCAAGGGCCACCCACATTAGATCCGTTTCCATTGCGTTGACGTAAATTTGACAGTTAGACAATAGATTTAGCTGTCACTTTGCCGCAACGCGTCCGATTCGGATCTAATGTGCGTGGGCCTTCAGCGTTTTAATCCCTCCATCCCTTGGAATTTCAGGGTTGTTACAATAATGCGAATTTCGCGATTTTCGCGGATTTGGCGCGGATTTGCTTATCAGATTTGTTCTGGCGCGGATTTGGCGCGGATTTGCTTGTTATGGCGCGGATGTGTTCAATAAAGTTTGAATTTTGTATTAACGGGTGTTCAATAAAAAATTAGAATTTTTTCAGTCATATAGGTAGTAAACATTTTTTTTCCAACGAATTCAGTATTGTTTATTAAAAACATAATGTTTATTCTTCAAAAAAAACGTCATTGAATATTGGAGAAGGGGCCCTGGTCAGCCGTACGACGCAACTTAGTGGCGATGCTCTTACAAGATAAATCATTCTCATGTTTTATTGAACACCCGTTATTTTTTTTTATTTATAAGTCTCCATGTGATTAACATACTAATATACCAACGTTAAACATAAAACATATTCTAAGAATGAGTAAACTACCATGAGTCTGTTTATTTTCATTGCCAGGGTAATTTATTCTCAGGGCCAGGGCGGTTAAAGCGACAAAGCAGCTTGCTTTTTAAGCTCTGACTGATGTTGAGTTGGTAACTTAGTACATCAGTTGATCTTACTGCTACCGGATATCAAAGAGCAGGTTCTTTTTGTGATAGGATCAGAAGAAGAGACGGAAAATTTTGCTGAAGTTTCTTGAGACGAATGAGTTTATTCTCTTTCGACATATATGATATTACTCATTCATTTTTGGTCACTATGATGTCAAGAGTTTACAGTCCAGGAAAAATAACAAAAGCTATCAGGAACAAAAACTAAAAGAAGACAATTTTCTTAAGGATTCAGAAATTATTGTTTTCAAATCCATACTTGATGCTGCTGAAAATCAATTCAAATCATCTCAATTGAATAAGAATGTCAAAGAACACGCGAAATCTTTTGTGTCGTATTTGTTTGCCCAAGATGTTCCCAATGAATTTGTTCAATTTGTCAGTAACTTCAAGGTTCGCAGGATCATTAATAAGGACTCTAACAAGGAAATCGTCCGTTTAGTCAAAAATAATTGATTTCAAATCAGACAAATCTGAGATACACGAATAACTCGTACTTGCAAGTGTGAAATTTGCAGGTCAAACGTTTTATTCAGATTGTGATTTGGAAATTCTGGATCCTTTATTTCGAGATGGAAGTTTCTCAGAACTCAGCACATTGTTTAACATTGTAACATGCGTATCGCATTCCAATGCAGAATTAGAAATAAGTTTTCACTATCCAAGAATTTGATGCCAGAGAACCGAACTAGGCTTAGTGAACAGCATTTCAATAACCGTAAAAACATTTTGAGTGGCATGCATTTTTTTGATAATGATGTAACCAAATTTGTTATTTCGAAGGACTTAATTTTGAATGCCAAGTTCGCGAGGAAATCTTACGAAACTAAGCAGGAACAAAAGAAAGAAGGTGAATTAATTAATAGAAGCTCAGAAAAAGAAAGGAAGTTAGTCAGACACCACATTAAAAGACAAGAAGAAGAGATCAGAAAGAAAAGAAAGGCAAAAGAAGATATTTTTAATTTGATCGAAAAAGAAATCAGAACAATGACATCCAATAATCCAGAAACATCATTCCTAAAAGTTCTTCTGAAGCAAAAGATAACATTGAGCAGGAGGAAAAATCAGAAAAGAAAAAAGTGGCTAAAATGAATGCTAATGAAGATTATTAGTGTGTTGATGCATACATTCAATAAAATAAGTGCTTGTCATATCATTGACAAATCCTCGTCAGCAAGTCCTCATCAGTTGGCAACAAAAATGGAATGATGGTGAATTGGGAAGCTGGTTACATTCTATTCTCCCACAGGTGTCGAACAAACCATGGTTCAAAGGGTTGGACATGAGCCGCGACTTTATACGCGTTATATCAAGGCTTATGTCCAATCACTTCTCGCTAGACTTGCACTTCTATCGAATTGGGCTCTCAGGCAGCAATTTATGTGCGTGTGGCAGTGCTTATAACGATATCGAGCTTGTTGTTTGGTCATGTACCCTACACCGTGTTGCCAGATCTGAGTTATCCACATCCCTCAGGGCCCGAGGAAAACAACCCGCGATACCCGTTAGAGATGTCTTGGCGAGCCGAGATCTCGACTATTTGAATTTAATTTATGTGTTTTTAAAACGGATGAATCTGATGATTTAGTAGTTAGTGTCATCTTGTGTTCTCCCAAGTTGTTAGCTGCCCATCGGTGTACCCCATGTTTGTCTTTTTCATCAGAGTGTCGCTTAGTTCGAGATCAAGAGCACATTGCTCTCCAAACCTTGTGTTCACATCCCCACCCTGCCATCCATTTGTTACAATTTGTTACCCCTAAACCTCGAGATAGCCGCGAGTAATCGCCCCCCACTATACTAACGTTAGTTTTAAATAATTTTGTAATCTAATCAATGAATATCGGCTCCGCAAAGTTACAGCAAATTAGCCTGGAAAAATAAACGAATTATATAAAAAAATATCATTGACAAAAAATTAACGTTTATCGCTGACATAAGTCTCCTTTACTTTATTTGTTATCCTCCTTCAATTCTATATCTTAGGTTATTTCTTGTTTTCGTCAGAACCTGGGCGCAAGTCAAATTTCGGTCGACTTACGCGATTTTGATATAAAGTCCGTGCGGATTTGGCACGATTTTTATTTAAAGCCCGCGCGGATTTGATTTCAAATTTCTCGTAACAACCCTGGAATTCTACTCACATTAAAAGTCTCCTAAGAATTCATTTGCATTTCTTCTCATAGTTTGTTTGAAAAATGCCCCTGGAATTCTTTTCCGAATTCCTTTAAAGATCTCCTGGAGTTATTCTTAGATTTAATTGTAATCCCCCTTTTAACATCTCTCTCATCCCGCAGTATTCTCCAAAAAAAATCAATGACTTATGCTCCTTATTCGTTTTCTCCCACAAACTTCATTAAACTATCCGCAGAATGCCCTTGGAAATTCCTATGAGTTTTTATTAAAATTTACTTTGGATTCAATTCAGCGTTTTTATTGAAATTCTACTCAAAACTATCTCATGTTTCACGTGAAATCTAAAATGCCTCAAAACTACCTTGAAAGCAGATTGCTTCTTCTTTCTTCTTCTTCTTATTCGCATTTCAAGCTTATTGCTTAGCGCATATTAGCTTATTGCGTGCTCTCAACTTAGTGTTCTAAATGCACTTCCACAGTTATTAATTGAGAGCTTTCGATGCCAATACCAATGCATGAATTTGTATATTGTGTGGCAAGCACAATGATACTGTATGCCCAGGGAAGTCGAGAAAATTTCCAACCCGAAAGATTCCCTCGACCGGACCGGGAATCGAACCCGCCGCCTCCGGCTTGGTAATACCGTGCCTTTACTGACTAGGCTATGAGGCCCCACAAAGCAGATTGCACTTGATGTAATTTATTTGGTGTGCCATCGACTACTTTTCTTCTCTTACGTCACCTTGTTACAACTATAAGTTACTATTTGGTCACTTATTTCTTTAAGATGGTCACTGTAAATCACTATTTTTGATCGCATTTTTCGAATTGGGAAACAAATTCAGAGACATTCTTTGTCACGTGAGATGCTTTGCCCCACCGTACACTAAGTATATTATGTTCCCAGCAGCGGGCATTTTCCAGTACTGATTTCTTTTTTGTTGTTTCTGATCTCCTTCCGCAGATTCCTGTGGAATTTGTACTGCAACGAAGCTGGCACACACATCGTGAAACAAGAATTTCTGAAAGCCATACAGATCGAAAATACGTACCAAAGCAACGTTCTGAATGCCACCACCAACAACAACAATAACAACAACAACAACAGTAGTATTAGCAATAGTAGTAGTAACAACAGCAGCAACAATAACAACAATCCAGTAACAGTGAGCAAAAGCAACAGCCTGCCCAAGTACACGGTGGCCCTGTTCGGTCTGAACGATCGTGTCACATTTGAACAGTTCAAATCGTGGATCCAGATATACAAAGGGGCAACCGTGCTTTCCAAATGGTTGCTCCAAGATGCATGTGTCAATCTTAGTTCTGAGTTGGAAACTCCTACCTTCTATCAGAGCTTGGCCGGCGTAACGCATTTAGAAGAGCAGGACATAGGCGATTTGGAGAAGGTGTTCTGGCTGTTGAAAGGATTAGCACTGACGGGGCAGTTGGATTTGGAATCGCTCGGACCGCTGATAAGTCCTCCGGTGCCCAAAGCTGCCCTCGGTGGGGTTTTTCTGGCGTTCGATGAGAACCATGATGGTCACATTGACTTCAAGGAGTTGTGCTGCGGTGTAAGTGCAGCCTGTCGGGGACCAAATGTAGAGAGGAGTAAATTTTGCTTCAAGGTGTTCGATATCGATCGGGATGGAGTGCTGAATTTCACAGAAGTTGGGAAGATGGTAGACATTCTGTTGTTTGTAGCCAAAGAAACGAATGCATCGTGTTATAAAAATTTAACCAGTAGTCATGTTATGGATGAGTTGTATCGGCGAGCAAATGAGCTCAGCGTAGTTGACACGGAGAAAAGCGTAACGGTTCCTGATCCGCTACCGGAGTTCAAGTTTACTCAGGAGGATTTCCTTATTTGGAGTATTGAAAGTAGTACCAACTTGGTTCAACCGTTTCTGGATCTGTTGTTTGAAGTTTGCCATATCGTGTTAGGACTGCGACCACAATGTAAGCACTTAGAAGGCGATATCGTGCGGGGATGGTTGGCTCGGGAGGTGCGGAGGGGCTACAAAGTTGGCCAATTCTGGTATTTGGTATCATCTGACTGGTGGCTCCATTGGTCGCAATATACTCAGCCGTCTGCGAACTCTTCATGCGTACATTGTAAAATTGCGTCCAGCTATGCCATCAGTAGGAACAATGCAGTCGCCACCGTTGCTGGAGTCGATGAAGCAATAATTTGTGATGAAAGCTTCACTTCCAACTCAACGGAAAGCATGGGAGATTTACTTAATGCAGGAGATTCGTCTAGTTTGGGATCGGGTAGTAGCGGAATATCATGTGGCAGGCATCCGGGTGGTCCTCCCGGAATGATAGACAACCATAGTCTGATAGCTCCGATTCTATACAAACAGATCCCAACGTTGACCGGAGAAGGCGGAAGGTTGAAACGGGATTTGACTCTCGTGCAGCATAGAGATTTTGAATTAGTCCCGGATTCTCTTTGGAAAGCCCTTTCTCAGTGGTATGGTGGACCGCTGCCCCTCCCGAGGCAAGTAATTCAACCGCTCAGCACAGGAGATGTAGAGTTGGAACTGTATCCTTTGAATTTACGGATATTACGGCATCAAGCACCAACTCCGCAGCAGCAGCAAAACGCCAATAGCGCATGGGGCAATATTTCCGGTGGGTACGGTGCACTGACAAGTGGAAGCTATTCAAATACTTCCGTGTCACCTGCTTTACAACCGCCAAAAAAGTATCTCGCTTACACAGCAGCGTTCAGTCGACTTGCTACAGTCAAGCAGGTTGCTGAATTTCTCTGCCAAAGACTGAAACTCAGAGTAGAAGATATTCGGATATGGCACCTAGTGTCGACTCCAACCGGCATAAGTGAGTTCCCCTACCTTCTAGAAGAAGACATCCTGACTCTCCAAGAATTATCGATCGGTGACAATGATCAGATCCTCCTGGAAATCCGCAACAAGGACCTAACATGGCCCGAAGAACTCGGTTCTCTCACGTTAGCTCACAGCAACAGTCATAACAATCTGGAACGGCGGAGTACGATCGCCTCAATCCAATCTCAGCACCCTCCCGGCGCTACAGGATTGCACAATCTTGGTAACACTTGCTTCATGAATGCGGCCCTACAAGTCCTCTTCAACACTCAACCCTTGACTCAGTATTTCATCAGACGAATGCACATGTACGAACTGAACATGGCTAACAAACTCGGTACCAAAGGCCAACTCGCCATGCGCTACGCTGAATTGCTCCGAGAAGTGTGGACAGCTTCGCAGCGATCGATTGCTCCCCTAAAACTGCGCTTCTGCGTTACGAAGCATGCCCCTCAGTTCTCCGGCGGAGGACAGCATGATTCGCAGGAATTATTGGACTGGCTGTTGGATGCCCTGCACGAAGATCTGAATCGGGTTATGGAGAAACCGTACAGCGAATTGAAGGATTCGGATGGTCGAGCGGATGTTGTGGTTGCAGCCGAAGCTTGGAATCAACATCATGCGAGGAATCAGAGTATTATTGTGGATCTATTCTATGGCCAGCTGAAATCGAAGGTAACCTGTACGGGGTGTGGTCGCGATTCGGTTCGATTCGATCCATTCAGTTTGCTAAGTTTGCCGCTCCCGGTTGAGAACTATACCTACTGTGAAGTTTTGGGTGAGTATTCTCTAGGATAATCAAATTTTCAACAGAAGAACTAACTGAAAATTACTTATTTCAGTTACTATGCTGGATGGATCCGTACCAGTGAAATACGGTTTAAGACTGAACTCGGAAGTAAAGTATTGGGATCTGAAGAAACAGTTGAGCGAACTGTGCGCTCTCGATCCGGAACTGATGCTAATCTGTGAACTGTCCAATTCCCAAATTCGATGCATTTTCCCTAATGAGCAAAAAATCAAACCCAGTACGGCCTGTGAGTTGTACGTGTACGAACTGCCAAAATTCGATAACATGCTTGTAAGATCTCGAGCTGGCTCTGAACTGGCCATCAACATCGAGAAGGGTCTCAAAGACATCCAGCGAACACCAGGTAATCCGATGCTTCCGATGCGCAGCTCCATTGTTTTGATTGTTTGATTGTAACGTTTACTACCATTTCTCACACTGCCATCGTGTGCTGTTGTTTTGTTTGTGTTTTGGTTACATGTAATTAACGTAACATTTTTGTTTCTCGTTATTCATCTCTTTTTCTCCGAATTTCCTTCCCACATTTCTATCATCATCCCTATCGTCCCTCATAAAAAACATCACCCATGCCATCACCACCGCGCTTTCGAAAACGAAACTATGCCTCTTCCCGAATCGTTTACCATAAAAAGCTCTTCTACTACCATCGATAGAACCGAACCAGCTGACGACCACGTCGCTCAACACGACAATTTCCTCGTCGTCCTCGTCGTCGACCACCGTGGACGATACAGTGGCCATCACCGGTCGTCGGTCCGGTCCCGGCGACAATCCGACGAAAGTTGGACCCGGTTCTGGTGGAGCGGCCATCAACGGTAACCGTAAAGCATCCGGAACGACGACGGCATCGAAGGTAAGCCGGTGCTTCGGCAACACACTCTGCATGCCCCCGAATATGTTGTGCTTCAAGGTATGGTTGTGTATATAAGTTTAGTAGATTTAGCTTAGCGTGTAGTTTTATTTTATTTTAGATAGGTGTTCTTTCTTCATGATTTTCTTTCCTTTTTTTAAAGTAGGTATAGAAACTTTACAAAAAGGGATGCTTTTTTGATTTTAACAATTTTTATTTCCACGCCAACTATCGAATCGATCAGACGCGACCTACACGACAAATGAGATCGACCCAAATTTGAGCTTAGTTTACTTCAATTTGAGTTTGGTTTGAGTTTAGTTTTAGACCCAAATTTGAGTTTATTTAAATCGCAAAATTTGCCTCATGTTTTTTCCAGGAAAAAAATCCCGGATATGAGAAAAATAAAGATTGGATACTTTATGTCTATTAGTACTACTCCTACACGGTTAGAAAAAAGTACCCAAAATTAAGTTCTTTTCACTCATCTCGGCACTATAGTGCAGGAACCCAAAAGTAGGTAAAGCGGGTCAAAGTAATTTTCATTTACTTGTGTGCAGTTCGTATGGAATTTTCCACTGTCTTTTTAACCAAAAGTAAGTTAGTTGTACCCAACAGTAGGTAAATATGATTATACTCAACGTTGGGTTCCCACACTTTACTACCTCTGTTGGGTGGTTTTGCTTCTCCGTTTTTGACAACATTAGAAGGAGAAAAGGAGACAAACTAGTCAAAAGTAGGTAAAAGTGAACTTTCCGTTGGGTACTTTTTTCTTACCGTGTAGACTGAGTAAAATTTTCGTAAATTTGCTGATTTTCCGGCAGATTTTTAACAGGAAAACATGAGGAAAAATAATCGCTGAGTTCCTGCACTTTTCGCGATTATGGATAACCTGACCTAACTTTGGGTTGATCTCATTGGCCGTGTATACATACTCCAATTTCCATGAAACTTTGACGAATCGATTTTTTTGGCTGTCTAGGAATTACATGAAACTTCGCATAATTGTTCACTAGGGGCAATAATCCAAGTTTGTACCGCAATTCGGCCTTTATGACTCACGTCTAAATTTTCAAAATAACGTATTCCACATTTTTCAATAAAACATAGCACGAAAACGGCTCATAAAATCGAAATGATGTCTGAGATAAAGTTGTAGGAAACTGGATTACCTTTTCAGAAAGAAAATAGAAAAAAACCCAATTATCATAAAAAAATAGACTGTTAAAACGTTACGTACATTTTTAGTATTTTAAAACTTATATTCAAGCTTGCAATTGCTCATTACAGCTAAAATGCTATTATCCGGATTTATGAAACTATGAGATATTATAATGATATTTTTATTTGTAAGATGCAGGAAGAGAAGGTAAAATTTGTGTATGACACATAAAACCTGTCAGTTACGCTTAGGGTCACAATTAGTGATTTTATGATCGCTGATTGTTCACTCATAGCGATTGCTTATTACAGCTGAAATTGCTAATTGTGGCCCTATGAAAGTCAAATTGGCGGGTTTTGTGTGTCATATACAAACTTATCCTGCTTTTCTTGCATCTGATATATAAACAATATTATTATTATTACATCTCATAGTTTCATAATTCCGAAAAATTGCATTTTAGCTGTAATGAGCATTTATGTTTATTTAAAAGCTTATCAAAAATGCTAACTTTTCTCAACAGTTAGCAATCTTTGAAAATTTTTCTTTGAGCTTTTTTTTTGTTATTTAAGTTTGTAACAGTTTTTTTTTCATTTTTTAACGAAAATTTGTGATTATTTTTTCAATGTAGGGGAAATGGCTCTAATGTTGGCCTATGGATCTAAGATTGGGCCCATCGCTAAAAATCTGCTATTTATCAATTTTATCTAAATGAACGCGTCATTGGGACGGCGCCAATGGATATTTTTGGTCGCTATTGAAAATTTAGTCGATTACTGAATTTATGTAAATGCCCAAATGGGCATTTAGGCCGACATTACATCCATTTCCCCTATTTATTTATTTTTCTTAAAAGGCAATTCAATTTCTTACAACTGTGTCTTAGACGTCTTTCGATTAGATGAGCCGGTTTCATGCAATGATTTTTTTTTAAATTTCGAATATGTCATTTTGAAAAATTAGGCGCGATTCAAAATGGCCGAATGTCAGCTCTAACTTACACTCAAAAAATAAATCACAATTTCAATGGAAGATATCTATTATAATTTCACAAAACTTTCATGTGATCTCATAATTGGGGATCGCACCACAAAATTACATGAACTGAACATCATTCCTTTATTTAAGGTGATTCCACTTCGAACTTTTCAATTACACATATCTCAGAAATTAATGCCCCATTTCACCTAAAATTGCTACTTCATGCATTCTTTTTTTTTATCTTTATTTAAGAGATTTTTAGCCATAGGCTAGTTCATCTATCTTCATGAATGCTGAGTACAAACGTTGATTGACAGTTTTATTGTGGTACGTATCGTAGAAGTTTCGAAGTGGCCCAGCGAAACACCTTAACGTCGGTCACGGTCCGCAATCTAGTGCCAATCACCGGCGGACATCGATTGCCATATCGAACCCATTACTTCCCTTACGTGACCAGCGATTTTTTTGCCTCAGAAAAATTCCAGTCTCGCTTACCACTACACCACCGACGCCGGTAATGAACCTTATATGTCCAATGAAAATTATGTAATTTATCACATAGAACTATCTTGTTATGTGAATTTCAGATAAAAATAATTAATTTTGTTATTGGAAAAAAATACCATGTGCCTTCCTAATGGAAACTGTTGTTTGGTCCATTGCCCCTAGCGAACAATTATGCGAAGTTTCATGAAGTTCTGAGAGACAAAACTAAAATATGTTTATTTTTTCGCTATTTGGCCTGGAACTGCTCTATGGGTAATTATTCAAATTTAGAGTGGTATTCGGCCATTTCGATTTGTTTCAATAAAACATAGTACGAAAAACGTCTCTTCTAATCGTCTGAGACAAAGTTGTAGGAAATCTAGTCCATAGCGAACAATTACGCAAAATTTCATGCAGAAGTTTGAGTCTGAAATTCATTTTTAGTTTGCTATTTGGCCTGGAAATGTTGCAATCATGAAAAGAACACCTATCTATCAACAAAGTTGTTAAATATTATTAAAGAGTATGAATCATTATGTAGTCATTTTTTAACATAAAACTATAGTTTTTTTTTTCAGAACACATTGATCTTTAATGATATTTAGCAACACTTACTGTAAATTTAGTTGACACATGTGTTGCTGCCAAACTGTGTGTAAATTGTCTATAGTTACGATTTTATTTTGGTACCTATTTTAGGGAATTATTTAACTCAGTGCACATTTTCTACTCTATTCACTGGTTAAAGTTATGTTATAATTTGGTGGTATTGTTTACTAGTCGTTGTAGGTAGTTTGATGGAAATTTATATAATTTGTTGTATATTGAACTTGGGAACAATTCAATAGATGGAGATGCTTAACGTCAAATATCAGACATTTTATACGATAGATGAGAAGATGATTTGACGGTAAACATCTCCAACTATGTAAATCGTTAACTTCAGGCATGAAGCAATAAAAACATGATTAGTTAAAGAATAATTCAATGTTAATAATGAATAAATGTTAAGCTATCGGCACTGAACAAAAACAACACATTCCAAGTGATGTGCAGTTTGTGTCAAAATTTGATAAAATTACTTATTTATTTACCAAAAATGCGCAGACTTTGTCCTAAAATGATATTTTTGCGGAATACTAATGGATTATTGTTTGATTGATTGATAAAATTGAACTGAAAAATAACATAACAGAGAATCTAGAGGTAAATTGATGGTAAGAGACCACGAGGATTTTCAGCCAAATTTGAAAAATTTCGGGAATGATCTAGTGCGGTAGATCTTCAAAACATATTTAAAGGACCTTACACTTATAAGTCTAAATAATTAACAATACGTATGTATTTTGACGTAGAACTATGTCTTTGTCGACTATGCTGGGGTGCAAATCAAAAAATATGTGTGGTGAAGGAGTGTTATAATTTTTGATATTTATTTATTCTGATAAATAGTCTTCTTTTTCCTTTGAGCAGCTTGAATTCAATCTTTGAGCATCAAACCCAAATCGTATTTTTCGGTAATTAAAATATTATTGTATTATCTTAAGAGCTTGGAATCTTTTGAATTGATTTCTGATGTTCAGATGTTCTAATTTCTCGTTGGAAGGGATATTAGTGTCCCTTTCTGTTTGTTTAATTAACCATGTCACGCTTAAAAAAATCAAGATGGTAGGATTTCGAGATTTTTAGAAAATCATTAGAAAGCAAAATTTAGTCATTTTTCAAAATTCTAATCATTGCATTGTACAAACTCCTTCATAACTATGAATGTACTCAATGAAGATTTAAACAAATGTGCACTGAGAATAATAAATAAGTTATACAGATTTTTTACAGAATTTTGTCAGCCAGATACAGATTAAAAAGATTTTTGGCGAAGAAAACACAGATTGATATTAGAAAAAATGTGGCATCACTGGGCGTGACCACAATGAGGAATGAGGAAAAGCAATTTATGTAACCCCCCCCCCCTCAACAACCTCTCCCCCCCCCAACAATAATCCGAAAAAGACATGAACTTTGACGATCACTTTTTTCCGGGAAATAAATTTTAAACAAACCACAATTATCAGTAAAAACAGAAGTTTTTCCCTTAATTTCTTCCCACACCAAAGCTTTCAAATTTGAGAAAAATTTGCTTAAAAGACATATTCGATGATATTAAGTTGGTGAATTACACACAACTGACTGTAAAACATATCTGGTACCTCTATACATGAAATTATATTAACATCCAAAGTCCATCCTTTTTTCCATATTTAGTATGTTTTGTGCAGAATATCTAAAAAAGGAGTCTTCGGATGTATTTTTTCTGCAAAATATGTAAAAAAGGAGGGACGTCGGATGTTAACCTTAATGCATATATCATGCATCCTAGATAGAGATAGATAGATAGGTTCTACGTCATACTGCGGTCGTGTCTAGGACACAA